TTATTTATTAGTGACATTTTCAAAATTTTGTCAATAAAGTCATTTTTAAATTTTTTTAAGACGATATTTTAGCGACTATTCTCATGATAACAAGAACTAGTCTCATTTTTTTTTTTTTTTAAATAAAATTTTCATTTTACGAGATATAATTTTTTTAAAAACTCTTATATGTTATGTTATAGTGGACCTTTTATACTTGGCCTTTTATGAAATATTATGGAAAAGCTAACAATTGATTTAAAGATGTCTTGAATATGATTAGATATTAAGTGCAACACTGACACCACAAGATATTGGTCATATTGCATTCTTTTTATTTATCTATTTTTCTCATCCATCTTTGTAGCATAGAAGATAGAACCATGCCATGCATCAGGACCTGTATGTTTGGCCCAGTGAATGGCCTTGAAGGCATGAGAAAAGGATGGGAAAAATGGGACTTGAGGATTCTAGTTCTATACATCCTTTTTACTCAGTTATACCTTCATGTTTTTGGGCGTCATCGTAGAAAGGGTACTACACAGCTGATGATCAACGTGAATGTCTGGTTTTTATACTTGTTCTCTGATTTACTGGCAACAATTGCACTCGGAAAGCTATCCAAGGTCAAAGGTGACGACGAGGATATCAGTCCAATTAGTCTATTGAGGGGTTTATGGGCACCAATAATCTTGTTTTATCTTGGAGGTCCAGATACCATGACCGTCTTACGCTTGGAAGAAAATCAAATGTGGTCGAGGCACGCTATAGGACTATTGACACAAGGTCTAAGAACAAGTTACGTCCTAATTCTAACTTGGACTTGGACTTCTCCCATGGGGTTCTCTCTTTTGGCCTTGTTGATGCTCTTTCCTGCACTTATCAAGTATGGAGAGAGAGTGTGGGTAATCAAGTCAATATCCGAGAAAAAGTATGTGGGTTTTGTTCAAATTGATGAAAACACAATTGACAAAATCAGTAGTGCACAACCTAACGCCAAGCTAGTGCTCCAAGCCTATTCTTATTTCCATACCTTAAAACCTCATATTTCCAATTATGTGGGTGCTAGGTCCAAATTGAACAAATTGACAAAAGAATTTCGTGAATTGATGAATAGAGATGATGCTGCTCACAATACTTTCAAGTTGATTGAGATTGAGTTGGGGTTGATGTATGACATGCTCTTCAGTAAGGTAGGCACAATTTTTACAGTATGTGGAAGCATTCTCAGACTCATTTCCATCTCTTGCATCGTAACTGTGTTGGTGGGCTTTTTCTTAGTTAAAAAGCCTGATGGGCATTTAAAAGGTGATCTTCCGATAACCATAATTTTGCTAGTTGGAGCCATTTGTTTAGAAATAGGTGGAGCTCTTGTGCAACTTGGTTCAGATTGGGCAATTGTTTGGGCATGTACGCATTACCCGAGTAAGTTGGTCACTCCAGTTTTTAATCTTCACGAATTTGTGATCTCTAAAAACAAAAGATGGTCTGAGGTTATGGGACAATTTAGCTTGCTAAACTTTTGCAACAAATATGAACGGACAAAGTTCGATGACATGGTGGTGGGTTTATGTGGCATCGAAAAAAGATGGAAGAAATTTAGCCTACCATCGCATAGAGTCGACCTTAGTATCAAAGAACTTATCATCTGTCAGCTTGGTAAGATATCACAGAATGATTTGGAAGTTGAAACTCCACAGGCTTATACCATTAAAAGAGGTGAGTGGACCCTTGGCAAAAGTATTGCCGTTTGGCACGTTGCTACAGACATTTGCCTTGAAAAATATGGAGTGGAACCAGAAAGTTCAAAGTCAATCACAAAAAAAGTGAAAACAACCAAAATATTGTCATATTACATGATGCATCTTCTGCTTTTTTGTCCTACTTTACCTTTCTGTAACAACAGTGAAAATTTTAAGCAAGCTTATCTTGACGTGGATAAATTTTTTAAAGAAGCAGAGTCTAATGGAAAAGAACTTGCCAGTAGTTTAATGGAGAAGGATGACAAATGGGAGATCATGAGTAATATATGGGTAGAGATGTTGTGCTATGCTGCAAGCTGCTGCTCGGTGAATCACCATGTTCAAGAGCTTAGGCATGGTGGACAGTTTCTCACTCATGTCTGGCTTCTACTAAAGCACTTGGGTGCAACAAAAATGTTGGAGAAAAATGCATCTCAACAATTGAATGACAAAGAAGACATAGAGTCGGAATTAAAGGATGGTGCTGAAGACATAGAGTCAGAATTAAAGGATGGTGCTGAAAATATAGGATGTTGCTTCTGATACCTTTCAAGCCTTCAAATTTCTGGGAGATGAGCTCATGCAAGTTTGAGTTAAACCATTTAGAAATTCTAGTTTCTTGTGTTTTTGCAGATGTCATTGTTTGATGTACTTTTGTTGTGTCCTCCAAAGCTTCTAGTGTTTGGCTTTGAGTTTTTTCTTGCTTTTAATTTCTGTGGTTTTGTTATGGTGTTAGTTTGCTTTAGTTGTAATGGCAAGGCTTCGCTTGGATTGTAGTTCTTTTTTTGTACTGTTTCATATAATGAATTGATGGCTGCTTGATCCATGTAATAATTTTAAGGTTTCCTATGAGTTTGAATTACTTGATCCATGTAACAATTTTGTAAACTTGTAATATATAATTCAATGGTTGCTTTTTAAGTTTATTTTCTTTTAGTAGCTACCAAATGGTGGAAATTTTCCGCTTTTGACTTCTGGTACATGTGTAAAAAATATATACTTAATATATAAAAGGGTATTTGAGTGATAATAGGATATGATATTGGGTTAGATAATTGATCATTATAGTGAAAATGATATGATTAATAAAATTATTTTGTGAGAAGGACAATTATTGTTTTGAAAGATTATTTATTTATTCATTTCTACCCCACTACCACTATCTGTCAACTTAATTTGTCTATCTATTCATATCACTATCACAACCAGTTCTTGAAAAGTCCAACACATATGATTATTATCAAAATATTAAACTTTAATATAATATAATAAAAAAATGACATTTAATTCTTTGAAAAGTCTAACGCATATGATTATTATCAAAATATTAAATTTTAATATAATATAAAAAGGGGGAAAAAAAGACATTTAAAAAAAAAAAAATACAATTCACATATATAGATAATTGGAAACACAATCCGTGCATAACACGGGTGATATGCTAGTGAGAAATTTAAAAAGTCAAACACATATGATTATTATCAAAATATTAAACTTTAATATAATATAATAAAAGAAAGGAGAAATTTAAAAAGTCAAACACATATGATTATTATCAAAATATTAAACTTTAATATAATATAATAAAAGAAAGGAGAAATTTAAAAAGTCAAACACATATGATTATTATCAAAATATTAAACTTTAATATAATATAATAAAAGAAAGGAGAAATTTAAAAAGTCAAACACATATGATTATTATCAAAATATTAAACTTTAATATAATATAATAAAAGAAAGGAGAAATTTAAAAAGTCAAACACATATGATTATTATCAAAATATTAAACTTTAATATAATATAATAAAAGAAAGGAGAAATTTAAAAAGTCAAACACATATGATTATTATCAAAATATTAAACTTTAATATAATATAATAAAAGAAAGGAGAAATTTAAAAAGTCAAACACATATGATTATTATCAAAATATTAAACTTTAATATAATATAATAAAAGAAAGGAGAAATTTAAAAAGTCAAACACATATGATTATTATCAAAATATTAAACTTTAATATAATATAATAAAATAAAGAAGACATTTAAAAAGTCAAACACATATCATTATTATCAAAATATTAAAACTTAATATAATATAAAAAAAGGAAAAAAAAAAGACATTTAAAAAAAAACATTTAAAAATCACAATTCACATATATAGATAATTGAAAATATATTAAGAAAAATGGAATTTCTAAACCCCAAGCCTTTTGGGAGCTCCAATCTTTCAATCTTAATTTTCTAAATTTTTTATTTAAAAAAAAAACCTCAGCATTTATTGATTTGATCAAAATTCCCTGATCAGCATTTATTAACTTTTTCCAATTCACATGCCTGCATTTATTGATTTTGTCAAAATCTCTTATTAGCATTTAAAATCCCCTCATATAAATAATTATAGATACAGCCCGTGCATAGTTACTACAGTAGTTTTTTTAATTTCTCCTGTACACTATGGTTAGTGATAAGATTGTTAAATTATTTTTATAAAAAATCCAAAAAAACATAATTTATATATTAAAAAAAATTAAAACAAATATAAATATCTATAATTATCTCGTGCATAGCACGGGTGATAGGCTAGTACTATATAAGGAAAATGAGGTTTCTAACCCACAAGCTTTGTGAGAGCTCCAATATGCCAATCCTAATTTTCTAATTTTTTTATTTAAAACAAAAAATCTTAGCATTTATTGACTTTTTCAAACTCACAAGCCTTTTTAACTTCTCTTATATTTATTACCATACAATTTTTAACTTCTCCTACAGACTATAGTTAATGATTGGATCATTTATTGACTTCTTCAAACTAACAAGTCTTTTTAACATCTCCTATACTTATTACCACACCATTTTCAACTTCTCACATACACTATGGTTAATGATGGGATTATTAAATTATTTTTATAAAAAATATAAAAAAAACAATTTGTATATTAAAAAAATATCTAAAACAAATATAAATTCTTATTAAAAAAAATAACATGGTGCAATTGCAAAAAAAAAAAAAAAGAGAAAAAAATTACACTGTAAAAAATAATTTGTATATTAAAAAATATCTAAAACAAATATAAATTGCAATTGCAAAAAAAAAAAAAAGAGAAAAAAAAATTACACTGTAAAAAATAATTTGTATACTAAAAAATATCTAAAACAAATATAAATTTTTATTAAAAAATAACAGGTTACAATTGCGAAAAAAAAAAAGGAAAAAAAATGCACTGTAATTAGGAAATTACACACCCTTTTCAAGCCTTCCACAATAATTTTATTAAAAAATTACACTGCTATCAAAAAGTTGAATATCATTATGGTCACATTGTTTGTCGTCACTGCATACATGATGTATAGCGATCCCGGTTTTCCCTTTTTGTATCTGTTGTATTTCGAACTTTGGTTCCGTGGAGTTAGTAGTTGTATCTATCTTATTGTCGTCCTTTGATTCCATTTGTTTGATTTTTAGGATATGTTGGGCATGTTTCGAGCAGGTGGGTTGACCCTTGGTCTAAAATCTTGTTGCCGGGTTTTGGTCGTTCCGCTCGAGCGAGTCATCTAGCGCTCGAGCGGAGATTGCACACTCCCAGTATTTTTTGGTGCTCTGCAAAACTTCTGCAAGCATGTTTTTCACGCTTGAGCGGGTTTCTTTACGCTCGAGCGGTTGCGCTCGAGCTGGTATGTTAGCACTCGAGCGGGTAGTGCTTTGTCTGTGAAAGTTCTGGGAGAGGGAAATCTACGCTAGAGCGGACTGGTTTTCACGCTCGAGCGGATGCACTTTATTCTTGTGTCTTGGCGCTCGAGCGGGCTTTCTTGCGTTCGAGCGTGTCCAGATTTTTGTGCCTGACACTCGAGCGTTCTATTCTCCGCTCGAGCGGGAATATCGTATATCGGAAGGCAGTTAAGCATTTTTGAATCACTTTTTACATTCACTCTCTCTCTCTCTCTCTCTTACTTTCCCAAAACCGATTTTGAGAGCCTCTCTCTCTAGAAACTCCCTTCTCTCTAGGGTTTGATCTAGTTAGAGTGCTTCCCTTTCCTTCGGCCTTTGTAAAAGTTGTGTTGATCGTCGAGGGCTTCATTTTGATCCGAAAAGTTTGGGTTTTGGAGCACTCTGAATTTCTTCATCTTCTCCCTTTGAGCTCCGAATTTGAGGTAGGGATTCCTACTCATTCTTATGGGTTTTGACCTAGATATTGAGCACTTTGTATAAATGGTTTAGGGTATTGGAAACTAGGGTTTCAAATGTATAATTTTGAAAATGGGGTTTTGTTTATTTTGGACCATAAATATGCATTTGGGTTTCAAAATGAGTATATTGATGTTATTGGTAATATGTGGACTCTTGGAGTCAATATTGAGAATAAGGGGAATTATGCCATGTTTGGGTAAATTTGGGTCACTAATGTAATTAATGACATTTGTTGAGAAAACATGGAATTCAATTGAATATAATGAAATTGGCTCATTATGAGATGGATTAGTGAAGTTGGATTTATTAATCGCTGACTTTTGGAAATATGGATATTTTATCTGTTGGTGCTTTTATTATCCGTTTAGAAATAATTGCCTTGGGCTACCGGTGGAGGGTAGCTATGATTGTTGTAGATAATGCATGATAATTAGGCAAACTAAAACTAATCAGTTGGATGTGTCATAGAGTATGACGGTTGACAGAATACATTAACTGTATGTATTGATTGATTATGTATATGACCTATGTGTACATACGTTGTGTATGTGGGAGGAGACAGGGGATGTACTCCACGGTTTAGGGGAAGATAGGGGATGGACCTCTAAACCGAATATTGTTTGGGAGGAGATAGGGGATGGACTCCGTTGATATAGCTAGTATGCTTATCTATGGAAGCGTTGATATAACTAGTATGCTTATCTATGGAAGTGTTGATATAGCTCATATGCTTATCTATGGAAGTGTTGATATAGCTCTTATACTTATCTATCGAAGTGTTGATATAGCTAGTATGCTTATCTATTGTGAAATGAGAAATGTTTACTATGAGTCACTACCTCATGTGAATTGTTGGCCAGGTTTTGAGCCGTTATTGTGAATTTGATAAGAAATGGAAAAATGAAATGAAATATGGACACTGTGGTCATGTAATGAAAGTGGTATATGAATTGGTTTATGTGAGTCAAATATTTATCAATTGCTAATGTCTTAGTTACTGCTCATATTGTGTTTAGCATATCTCTACTAGGCGTTGGCTCACCCTATATGGGACATTATTTTCAGGTACAGGTAGCATGCCACCTCCAAGGACATAGCTTGGATGGTTATGGGAGTTGAACACTATTTTTGATTATTTTGTTTGTATTACATGTATATCAAGCTAAGGGCTTATTTTGTATAGAGTTAGCACTCTTCTTTTGTAACCAAGTGTTGACTTAGAAAGCTATAAGCCCGTAGGGCATTTGCTTTTGTTGTTAACATGTAACATTGTTGTAAGAACTACTCTGATGAATAGAAGGGTGTTGATTTCTTTTATATTATTGCATGTTTAAAATGATGAGTTTTATGTATTATTTTGAGGGCGTTACAACTTGGTATCAAAACGTACCGGGTTTGAATACTTTGGGTACGTGGGAAGTGATTAGTATCACAATGGGTTTGTCTCGCTTGATTAGAGACGTAGGTGTAATGTTATGTGTTTAATTGATAACATGTTTATGTGACTATATAGGTATGGAATGTAGTTTCTAGGATGCTGATTGGATCCTTGGGTTTCTGAGGCCTCGTTTGGGAACCCTCATTTTTAGTTAAAAAGCCAAAAAGTTATTAAATTAGCCAAAAAGCCAACAATCCATACCAAGAAGTTAAA